CCAGCTAATCATGAGGGCACAGCCCCGATTTCTAACTTATATCACTTTATAGCACGGTACCACCCTTCTTTCCCTAGATGTCTGTATACAATGCTTCATTCCTTCAGCATCCATCTCACAACAACATTCTCAAAGCTTCTTTTTAACAGTCATATGCATCACCATCATTGCATCCATTTTCAGGATTAAAATCCCAGCTCATGGCCTCTCCCTGTTGTTATCTTCTACCATTTCAAAAGTTCAGCTTAATTTTAGGGGTCTTGCTGCTTCCCTAGGAACTCAGGATACCAGAGTGACTTTGCCAAGAGCTATACATGCCAAAGAGGCTGCTGCGTGCAGGGAGCTTCCTGCCCTTCCAGCCTCAAAATGGCACAAACCCTGACAGCCTGAAGAGGCAGAGGCTAGTTTAGCACTGCCTGTTACAGGCAGCGCTATTGATTTTGGCACTCAGGTTTACCAGCCCATGAGCACGTGCTGAGTCAGTGGCTGGACCTACCATCTGAGTCAGACTCATGCAGGAGTACATCAATTAAACAAACATCTCTATTATTATCATCATCTGATAGGAATACACAGTGTCAGGGGATAGTCCTGGCTGCTTGCTGCCTATGCTGTAGCAAGCACTAAAAGATTTTTGAAGCATGAAAGCCAGCCAGACTCCTCTGCCAGCCCAGGTTGCCTTGCACCATTCCCCAGTGCAGCCATGCAATGCCTCACATCTCCTGCAAACCATCCCTCACAGCTGCTTTTTTCAGCCATCACAGGATCTTCATTTGTCTCACTTGTCTGTGAGATGCTCAAAGCAAAGAATTTGTTTCCTAAAGTTTTGGCTTCTTTTTTTTTGAAGTTTCTTTAAAAATATATAAAAACTTAGACATAAACATTTCCTACTCCAAGTAAATGAAGAATAGTTAAATTGCTTTTTCAGCTGAAAGTCTGCCTGCCTTTTGCACCACAAAGCCCCACATCAGCCTCACTTCATCAGGGCACAGAAGCCGATGCTTGAACACACCGATGCCAGAAAGCAACAAGCCGTGGCTACCCCTTGAGTAAAGCTCAGGCACCCTCTGGCCTGGGAAACACAGAGGAGATGTGGCCATGAAAAGGCTGAGCAGGGAGAAGCATCAGAGCTCCTGGGCTGAGGGCTCAGCCCCTGACAGATCTTTTGAGATACTTTTTGCAATAACATAAGTGACACCTGGAGCCATGAGCTGCTTGAGAAACAGCTTTTGTTTTGCTTAATGTCTTTTAAACCCCCAGTTTCGTGTACATCCAACCATATAGATGGATCTTAAATAAGTTTCTGACAGAAATAATAAACACCCTGGATAATCATTTCTGATGAGCATTTCTGTAACTTTCTTAACTGCCTGAGTCTGCAAAACGGGGCTGGAAGGGAGCTTGCCTGTGAAAACTCTGATGCTCTCAACTTTTGATCACGGGAAATAACCTAAGAGCAGATTTTTCAAGGGGAAATACATCGTTTCTTCTTCTGGGTGTCAAAAGGCCACAGGCTAATGAAAAAGAATGAAAAGGATACCATTAATATCTACTGTTTCTGCAACACTTTTCATCTGAGTATCTCAAAGCAAGGGCTGACAGATAGCCATTATTAACCCCACTTTACAGGGGAAATAACAAAGTCTTAGCAAGGTTAAGTAACTTGCCCAAAGCTATGCAGCAAGTCAGTGGCAAGACACAGAAAAAAGGGGAAAAAAAAAAAAGCAAAAATAAAGCCCTGCAGTCTTGGGTGGATTTGTGAAGATTTTGTCCAAGCTCCTTCAAAACAGCAAGAAGAAAGAGACTGCCAGGGTGGTATAGCCTGCAGTTTTGGGTGCCCCAGACAGGTCTCAGAGAGGAGAGGCACAGACATCTTCACTGTAAAGGGCTACAGGTAGGTGAAACAAATGTTTCAAACACCTGCCTGTTTTAATTGTTTTTATTATCCTGTCCCTAGCAATGTGGAAGAGTAATTTTACAGGGAATAGGTTGTTGAGACTGAAGCAGAAGTGATAAATCACATAGGCTCTGTGGTTTCTGTCCATAAACCTTTCCTTTGGTTTCTGACTCATGTCCCACAGATTTCAGATGAAATGCATTTCCAACTAGTAGGTTTTAGCCAGCTTTCGTGGTGAAATGATTCTGATGCAACACAAGCTGTATCTTTTCCTTCTGCAGGAGCTGCAGGAGGGAAGGGCTGGTGCCAGGCACCCCTCAGGGTATTGAGGACCTTCTCTCCCTGTCAGTGAATCACTGGCCACATTTATTCCACAGGATGGTAAACCCAGTTCCTGGCCTGTGCTATTCTCACAAACCTAGGCAGTCAGGTTTTGAACCAGTTTAGTTCAGATTGCCTTGCGTGGTGTTCCTTGGTAGCTTTTTTACTGTTGCTGCTTCTCTAAAGAAGTTCCTTTTCATTCATGGCAATGCACTAAAGCACTTGATTTTCAGCAAGGAACACTATCACCATTTTGCCACTAATTAAGAAAAAAAAAAAGAAAATAAACCAACCTTTCAGTCAATCAGGGTCTATTTAACACATTTACACTTTTCCATCATTTTTATGTCATGCTGCATTAACAGCCGTGGGGTCAAATCCAGCCCTGGTGTAATTCCAAAGGAGTAACACTAGGAATGAGCTTCACCCATTATCTCTAATGTTGCTAAAAAGGTCTCCATAATAGATTTTTTAAGTTCTTGATTCTGAATACTAATCAAGTCCTTTAAAAAGAGCACTTGAGTGAGATGCTACTAAAACAAATATGCTCTGGTATTTTACACCACATCTTTCTGTTCTGCTGCTCATTTCTTTGCAAACAAATGAGTTTTGGGAAGTCACTTTCTGCCATGAAGTGTGTTCTCAAGCAGCACATGGGTCATCCAACCCCTACCTATATGCCCTGCATGCAGCCTTTCACAGCAGCCCAAGAGCCAGCCCACAGGACATCCAGCCACATGTAGGGTGTCATAGCCAAGGGTCCTCCTTCACAGACCTGTTTACCCTCCCAGCTCTCCAGAGGCCACTACACAGCTCAGTAGCAGCACCCTGTGACCTGCACACCCAGAAACTCCATCTCAGCCGTTCCTGGACATTGCCATCCAATGTCCCAGTAAGCACCAAATACCTCCAAAGTGACATCAGAGCACAGGAACAAAGTAAATGCACCATTATTTCACACCTCCTGCATTTTGCCCCTCAGATACGTGCTTTGCACTACTCCCATAGCGCATCAGCCATGGTCGAGCTTTGCCTGATGTGGTCATCTAAATGTCACTACTACTTGTGGCTGTTGATAAAAGTGAGGGGTTACAGCTCTGTTTTCAAAAAGTAGTAACTTTTGAGGGGTTTCAGGCCTCCCCGAGGGAGATCAGGCATATGTGAATATCTCGGATGGATGCTGTTTGGACACTGATGACATTCACATGGGCCAGGGGCTGCTTCGTTGGCTTTTCTCATATGCCTAACTTCATTCTAGTTTGTCCAGCTCACTCTTTCCCTAGCTTTTTCTAGTGAAAGAGCCATTTCAAAACTGGGGTACTACTCGTGTGGTCTGGAAAACGCAACATCTGACCTCCAGAATTCCCAAAATAAACAAAAGCAGTGAAAATGTCACATGCTGCTATTTTATCATCTGTACTATCCCCTGGTTTGTAACAGTGAAAACCCCAGGAGGAAGTTCTGCTCCCGAGCAAGGGCAGGCTCTCACCCGCAAAACATCACATACCTCTTCAGATGGAAGAGAAACAAGAAGGAGCAGATGAGTAAGAGACCTCTTCCTTCAGCAGCTCAGGCCCTGCTCCTTCCACTCTTTGGGAAGTCATTCAACAGGATTAATACAGCAAACCCTAAACAGTTCAGGTGTTCAGATAATCCTCTGACTAGCAAAGAATTACATTCACAGAAGAGGCTCCCATAGCTGTTTAGCGCATCAAGAAATCTGTAAGTACCTAAACATGAATTTATTTGCTGGGAGTTCTTACAGTCTAACAACATACAAAACAGTGCTAACACTTCAGTATGTATTTTTCCTGAAGCCTGCTGCCTAGGGGGGGAAAAATGCACACTAAATTACATCCGAGGCACATCCCAGGCTCATAATCATAGAATCACAGAATCACAGAATCACAGAATCACAGAATCATATCACTGACCCTGTCCCTCCACAGGCAAACCACACATCCCTGAGCACTTGACCACACGGGTCTACACTGTGCACAGCACCGAGACCCCTCACCTCCTCCCCACCTCAGCAGGTGCTGGGACCAGCCAAGGCTTCCCCACTGGGGATGCCTCCTATTTACACCCAGCAGGACCCTGCCCTTTACCCCGTCACCACCAGCCCATGCAGCGAGGCTGGCGCGTCACTCAGAACTGCATGTGACTTGGCCGCTGGGCCCTGGGATGCACTTTCTTTCCCTGCCACGCTACCCACCACTGAGCCAGCCCCTTCCCCATGGCCACATGCGGTCTGTCCCTCAGCTGTGGGAGCAGCAGGGAGGAAGAGGGTTAAATCACAGCGGTTCTATGACACAGCACAGCGAGGAAGCTGGAAAGACAGCCATGTCTCTCCTCTCATTATTACCAACACACCCAGCTAAAAGTTGCAAATTCTAGAGTTACGCTCTCACTTCTAAAACCTGATTGTTACAATTTGGTGGGGAAACGGGGAAGGCAGTGTAAGTAATCAGCATTTTTTTTTCAGCATCACCAGACAGGAGTTCACTGCAAAGCAGAAGTTAATAAATACATCTAGTGAACAGCAACCCTGCATTTTACTTAAGGTCTGTTGGGTATTGCAGGGAAGAATAAGAAAGATTGTGTTATTCTGCAGGAGCAGTTTCCTTGGAAAAGTACACCCAGACATTTAATCCCAGGAATATTTAGTTAGCATAACTCAAATGGTGTTGTGCATGCAGTTGGTTAGTCTAAAGTGGAGCGTCATGCAACTTGCATTAATGCTGGCAAAGGCACTTTATGGAGAAACAGACTTTATGCTTACAATTATCCCAGCCCAATATGGAGTGTCTCTGACTAGCAGAGAAGAACTGATGCCTGCCATAAGGAAGCCCAGCACTGTTACAGAGACGCCTAATGCCAGCTGCAACAAAGCAAACAGCAGTGGGAAACGGCAGCCACAACAAGTATGGGATTCCTCCTCCTGGCCAGCTTTGGGATCCCCCTTGGTTTTCTTCCGCTTCTTCTTCTTCATCTCAGACTCCTGCGTCTTGCTCGAGTCAGTGCCTCTCTCCCCTTCAGGTGCCTTCAGGGACGTGCTGTGCTGGGGTTTCTTCTCCTTCTTTCCCATGCCGATGAACTTTAGGTTTTCACGTGCGTGTGTGTGTGCGCACACTGATGGGGGTGTGAGGTTTTTTGCCCCCCAAAGCTTTGCTTTGTGCTGGCTGAGTTGTTCCTGGTATTTGAATCAAGGAGGCTGAACAAATATGGAAAACATTTGGAGCAGATTGTCAGAGCTTCAAAATGCCACATATAGCCCAGAGAAGAGGGGGATTCAAGGGGGGTAGTGAACTGCCAACGTGCAGGCACCGGCTCTGCTGTGTACACACAAGGACTGGCCGTGTACACACAGCTGAGAATGCGTGCCACCACAGCTTACACACATAGGTGTGAGCGCACACGAGTGTGCGTGTTTGTGGAGGAGCTGGACAGGCAAAGAGTGTGCAGGCAGTCTGCATTGCCAGCTGATAAACAGGAGGGAAGCCTGTCTCACCAAGGAGGCGGGAGTGATCAAGTGCCTGTGCACTGAGCAAGCAGGTAGGAGCTCATCATGCCGTGGCTCCCCTGGGGATTGCTGGCATGCAGAGTGTAACTTAGTGAACCCAAACAGCACCAGGCACACAACAGGCACGTTTCATACACCAGCTGAATCAGATCAAATAGGTGCATTTCAGAGGGAGGGAGCTGACTACATGTATGGAAAGTACGAAATTAACACAAATAAAAATTCAAATTAATAGCCTGGGGAGCCAAAAGGAATCCTGTCTCTTCCTGAAAGTTGCAAAAGCGCAGCTAGGCATGTTTTATGATGAGGCAGACAGGGACCAGCAATGAGGACTGGTGCTTCTGTACAAATACACGCAGAGCACAGAGCTGAACATCTGCTGAGCAAGTTTCCAGGGCTGCGAGTTGTCCATACTGGGAAGATTGTTTATCTTACCTAAAAGAGAGAGGGATGTCTTTCTGTGGACATGTTATCGTTGCAATTTGTCCACATGCTGGCTCATGCTTGTGCCTGGGGATAGCACACCACACTAAAAGTGCTCTGGAGGTGAACCCAGAGCTGGGAGCCCCAGAACAGCATCTTGGATGCTGGTGGGGGTCCCAGGGCAGGGAACTGAGGTCTGAAGAGTTAGACATTAAATAGGAGGGAGTAAGAGGAGGTAGGTGGTGAGCAGTCCTGTGGAGGTGACACCAGTGGCCATGCACGTGTCCTTGCAAGGGAAGTCCATAGGAAGCGGGAGGCTGCTGCGACGCCTGTGCTTAGCTCACACCAGAGGAATTACTCAAAAGCTTAGGGGTAAGCAGGTGCTTAAATGCTTTGCTGGCACGTGGCCCGGTTGTGTACAGCCTGATGTATTGCCCTCCTACGAGCCAGGAGCTGCATCAGGACCAGCGGAGCACTGAAACCCTTCCTCTGTGCGTGCAGCTCTGTTCCCACCACTGTCACAGAACACTGTGAGGACACATGGGCTTGTACTGCCTCACCATCAGCTGGAACAGTATAAATGGGCCAGCCAGCTCTGTCCCCATAATCTGTCTATGTGGGTTTTTATTACCCTTCCCGTAGAGGAGTCAATTTGAGCAAGTGACAGGAGCAAAGCACTGGGAGGAGTAGGGAAGGCGGGAAGAAGATGTCAGATATTGGGGAAGTCACCAGCAAAGCTGCCTTTGAATGCTGTAGAGTGGTTCAGGGAGGAATAACCAAAATGTTGAAGTGTTTGGAGAGGATCTTACGCATGCTGAGACAGCATCAAAAAAATCTTTCCTTTGACATATTGGCAATGCCTTCTGAGAAACTACTCTATTTCCAGCTCTTTATGGCATTTAACAGCAATGAACTGTGCCTTCTGTATTAATAAATTATGATGTCACTTTGGTTTATGGGTTAAGCAATATCCTCTTTGGTTATTTATATTGCTGAGTGTATGAAAGAAAACTAGAAACAAAGTGATTTCAGAGGCTTTCTGCATACACAACTCTCGTGTTAGATCCATAGAGCAAGATCAAGATATGTTGCTTAAAAAAAGGAAAAGACAAAGAAACTAGAGGTTAAAAAGAAAAAACCTTATTCCCTGTCCATGTTGCTTACTGTACCATGCTTTCATAGCTTCTCTCCAAGATATTTTGTCACCATCATCCACTTTTTAAAATGGTCTTACGATAGCTTGCACTCACTGGTATACCTTGCCTCTTGATCTCAAAGCCACATACAATTATGTTTAACCAGAGCTTTGAGAAGGAGGGGGTGCTCAAGGATCCTCACCAAGGTCAGACAGGGAAGCAGAGGCAAAGCTGAGAACACATGTTGAACATCTCCCTTCATAATAAATATGAGAATTAAATGAAGTTAGAGTTTCTTTTCCTTTCTGCCTGCCCATTTCCCCAGTTCTACCCCATAAATCTTTACCGTGTTTTTTCCCCCAGGAAAATCCCTGGTTTTAGCACCTGGATTTGTGTTGGCAGATGGATTTATGTTTGTTGTCTTCTAAAAGGGGCCAAAATCCTGCTACTTTATTTATGACAACATGTCATGAATGTTGGTTTCAGGGGGAATAATTGCCTGAGGAGGATGAACAGGAATTAACCCAAAGTCAATAAAATGAACTAGCACTTATCTTAGAGTCAGTAACAGCCCTTATTTGTCTCCTGGTCCAAGAATCTCTCTTAAAACAGGCACCTAAAGATCTTTCTGCACAGCAACTATCTCAAAAAGGAGGCCACACTCCATGAGCAGCAGGATGAATATGTCCTACAGGGAAATGCACCTGGGTCCCAGCCTCCTGCAGCCCCTTTGAAAATCCTACTTGTGTGGCTGGTGTCCACAGCCTGAAAGCTATGGGTATGAAACTATGAAACATGGTCAGTGTGGATCAGTTTTCCTTCTCACAGCTGCTGGGTCTAGAGTAGCTGTACCGCTTGGAGCTCTTGGTTTTCCCATGGAAGCCAAAGACATTAGATGCCGTTTGCCCAGGTCATGCTGAGACAAGCAGCCTCCCCTAGGCTGGGTACAGTGTGCCTACACAGGGAGACACCATCCCCACGGTGAAGGGCAGCAGGACCTTGTCTGGTGGGAGCAGCTTTCAGCCTTCTGCTTTGCTGCTCCTGGTGTTCACATGGTTATTATAACATACTGATCAGATGACAGCTCACCTGCTTTTACCGGTGAGCTTTTACTTTTTACTGAGCTGCTTTTGCTTTACTTTGGGACTTTGATGGATGCTGACCAGTTGCTAATAAAGACAGTCACTTGTCATAAAATTCAACAATCTCCAACAGATTGCATACTTAAAATCATATACACTATGTCTAATCTCTGCAGGAATACATAGAGGAAAAAATAGGGGCCAAACACATCGAAAAAAATGGAGCATGGATGTTGTTGCTTTGAAATGATTAAACAATGTATACAAGGGGGAATAAGGTTCTTTTACTGTGGCTCTCTCTCCCTGCAAAGTCAAACATGCATATCTTACATGCTGGGAAGTTCAATGGAGACAGAAAAAAGAGGCAGATGCAGGATTGATCTTCCATAATTATTATCTGAACCAGATCATATTTGCTGATTCCACTTGGCATTAACAATCAAGTGTAAAGCAGCTGTGAAGGAATTCAGAGCACTGGCAAGCAATGACAAATTAAAAGAATTACTTTTTTAGAAATTGAAAGATTAAACGAGGACACCGAAATAGCACTAATTTTTTCTCGAGTAATACATCTTCCAGACGTCACTTGGAGTTTCTCGGCAACACAAGAATAATCATTACCCTTTTATGCCCAAAGGCCCAGATTAAGTATGTTCTTAAATTAAGCACATGCTTGAATACCCTTCCTGGATGAGGATGTTTTTTGATTTGAGCCCAGCTACCATCTCTCATGTGGCACGCAGTTGTAATTTCTTGTCCTTTACACAAAATGAGTCATGTTGCAAAGCTTTTCCATAGCCAGATACTGTCCTCTGTAAAACATTGCCTGCTCTTGTTCCTCCCTTTGCCAAAAGGCAGCGCAAACCGGGTGACGATGACAACAAGTCAAACAGCACACACAACATCAGACACAGAAATGGCAAGATCTGGGCTGCAGCTTTGCAATGACACAGTCTTTCCTATTCCTTCTCCTACCCGCGAGGACACACAGCATTGCATGGGACTTCAGAAACCTCAGGTTTTTCTCCATTGCGATTTTTACACTAGAAATAAAGTGTGTTTGGTGCAATTGAACCCACACAGGCACACAAACAGACACTCACACATAATTGCATTTATACAGATATTTCTTCAAGGCATCCGCAGTCCAGCCAAGTGCCAATCACAGGGTTGCAGCTCACAAAAGTGGAGCAGCAAAATTAGCAAGGAACAAAGGCTTGGACAGGGCTTGCAGCATTGCCCCAAGGACTGTGGGGCATTTGGCTCCCTTTGCCCAAGGAGCCACTCCACAAAACAAGACTGCTGATCCAAGTATCCCCTCAGAGATGCCGCCCCCAGCACCATGACTGGGGCCAAGAGGGAGCCAAATGTGCTGTAGCCAGTCAAAGGCTCACCCACTTGCCAAGTCAGTATGAGCTATGGAGAAGCCAAAACCCTGCCTCATCCTCACTCCTTCTTCCCCTGCTCCCTTCACCCCATAGCAAGCCATGGACCATGGAGCAGCACCAATACACCGTTGAGTAGCCATACTCAGCACACCAATGCTCTGCCAAACAGAGGGTTCCCCTTTAAAATAAATGACAAGACTCTCCCTGAAAGCAGAGTTTTGAATTCAGCTGCTGTGATTTCTGGAGACTCATGCCCACTGACTACGGGTTATAATAATATCTAGGTTTTGAAAGCGCAATTATATGTAAGACAAGGCAAATTAGAAATGGGTATGACACACGCAATTCAGGCTGGCTTCTGACACAGCCATTTCTTATGTTCGGGTCATGTGGAGGTGAGGCTTGTTTTCAACACACATTTGAGACCAGTTCACATCCTTTTGTGTGCCTGTAGGCTCTGCTGTGAGCACTGGTTTGGGCCAGCTGATGTCCAGAGGAACCATCTAACCCACATTATTCTCCGTGTGGGGTCCATGTGCCCTTTTGGCAATACTAGGGATAAGGTGTAAAGTTCTCCAATTTATTTGCATGGGGTGAGAGAGGTGGAAAGAATTAGAGTTATTTTATGTCAGATTACTCCACACTCAAAGGCTGACCATGAGGCAAATCTGTCCGTACAAAAGAAATCAGATTTTCTTTTAGATTAGGTTTATTTAT